CAAGCGGATCTATTTTAGCGAGCACTTCTCCAACTAGCCTATCGCATCTCTACTCTGACGCGTATCCGTGGCCACAATAAGGAATTTATTTCTCTCTTTTGTAACGAGAGAACGAGCGAGCAATCTGTTCTACGCGCGAGCAGGAACTGCTAATATCCGACAAGTACAATTTGTCAGCATTGACATTTCTAACATTTTGTCAAATGCAAAGGAAAGTTGTTTTAAATACGGTATATAGCCAGTTATATTATTACGAAATGCGTCCTGAATTTGTTACAAATAATTGTGTCATACACATATTACGTATTCTTTCAAACTACAAAATGCATTGAAAAGGTGAATTATTTATAAGCATGATATTGAAATGACATTAGGAGTTTATTAAATAATATAAGAGCCTAATATTGTTCTTTGTTTAAAATTTGTACGTAAAATTCACAGATTCATCATAGAATGTATTACTCTGTATTTTCTAAGTACTTATGTTTTGATCGAATTCCCATATGATATGATTTAAGAAGTTTAATCCTTTAGTTTTCGAAAAATCCATTGAATTTATTTTGTCCTTTTAGTTTGTTGCTATTGACATTTTTTATTGATATTTTGTTACACGTTTTTTGTAACTCTCGTAGTGATAGTTCGAAAATTATACACGCTTTAAGAGATAATTAAATGACCTGGCAGAATTGATTTCTCGCTTTAACTGCTATTTTAATCGTAAAGATAACGATTGAAAAATGGAACGCAATGTTCCTTTTAGTATTCGTGCATATTTATTTGCGCTTTTATTATTTTATCACATTGAACGAAAGAAAATATTTATTTTATATTACAATCTGATTCGAAACATTGAACTTTTAAAAAAAAGGAACGAGCACAACAAATGTTTGCGTGACGTTTGCATTATTATGCGAATTACATATTGTTGCATCATCTAATAATCAAGAATTCAATAGCGATTCGCTATTTATTTATCAACGCTAATGTTACATGTATAATTAGTCACAGTATATATTTTGCTGCATTAACGTCGACAGCAACAATGCTGACTAATTAAAGTTTTCCGTAAATCCAATCGATTTTATAACGAATTCTATTGAGCTGTGATTAAATATTGATGACAAAAATTAAATCCAATTTTGTAAAAGTCAATCTAACTGTCATACAATATCTCGCTTATTTTCCCCGGTACAGTCCAATTTTCCGATAACAATATTAGTTCGGAGACATGCAATATATGCTACGATTAGATTATATAGCTATAGATATGTATACTGCAAATACATCGATAAAAAATCGCAGATAATACATTCTTTCGGCGCAATTTTCTAGCCCGTGTTGTTCAACCTTGTCACGATCGGTAATATCTCGCCTGACTCGTGTTTGTAAATACGTCCCTATCGACGAATAAGTACAGACTTCCTCGAGCGCACGCAGTGTCGGTTGTCAGTTTGTCGAGTTTGAAAAGGTTCTCTGAGTTTGAAAAAGTCCGCTTCGAAAAAAGGCATTGATGTTATCAGGTACCGTTTATATTTCTTATATGCGAACAGAAGATATATAAAGAATCGTATACAGATAAGAAAATCTCGACTCGATGAGATTAAATACAAAAATAAGGATTAAAGCTTCATCAAGATTGCAAAAAATTACGTAATAACAATAAGTAGGAATTCGAATATTTCCTATTTTCCAAGCGTTTTATTTATTTTTGTGATATTCTTATTTTCGAAAAATATTGCATACAAAAAATACTGAAGAAATAATCTATAATACTTACATACGTAATGTTTACTATTGTATTTTTATATGCAATATTTTTCGAGAATGCGAACGCTGGAAAGCGTCCAGTTTTTGAAATTCTAGAAATATTTGAAGACAATTGCGTCAGGCAGGATTAATTCTAAATCTTCTTCCTTTGTCCGTACGTGGCTGATGAATGTTTTTTTTTTTTTGCGTTTATCTGGCCAAGATGGCTTGCTACTTTGACCCTTAAGTATGCATACAGTTCTTGATAACGATGCAAAATAATACCGCTTTATCAGTCGACAGCGGTTCTCAAACATTATCTCCTCACGAATCGTAGAATTTCCATGAACTTTGGCGAAGGACATTTCTCTAGAGATTGTCTCACTGGCGAAATGACTTTGATCCTGGGGTTCGATTGTGCATTATAGCTTGATAAAAACAAAGTGAGCAAATTTACTAGATGTTAAGTTATAAAAATTCGCTCATTTTTTATATAATAACTTTTATTAAATTGCACAATCCCTTGTAAATGCTTTTGCAATTTTAAAGGATCCATCGAAACTCCATTTTCTTCATAAGAATAAATTAAGTAAGCGATGAAGTAAGTATGTTATGCGTTCCATGCTCTCACTTTCTCCGAATTCGAATCGCGAACAGAGGCAAGTGTGCCAGAACGAGTTTCGCCAAGAAAAGTATTTATCGAGAATCGCCGGGCCAATAATTACGGTGCATCAAGAACGTCCTTCTGAACGGAGAACTCCTAAACAGACTAGTTGTTAAAACTGGTCGCGAGAATCTAATACATTGTCCCACTTTATATTTAGCAAGCAAATAAATCTTTTGTAATGAAAAGCAATAAGTTTCCTTTCGAGAAATTTAAATAGTAGCTAAAACTCATTGAATACAAAATTACGTAAATGCAAATGTTGAAACTCTGGTTTTAGAATTCGCCAATTCAAACGGAATTTGTATTAAGTAAATTTTGATACAAATTCTGTAAAGAATCTGTTTTGTATTGAAATACAGAAATAACAAAAATATTTAAATATCAAGAGAATATTAGATTACTATTAAAAATGAGATTATTAATCCACCGATCGTGTTAACTTTTGCATTTTCCTCAGCAACATAATTTTGAGCTTCAGTTCAGATCCTTATTTTTCTGGATTATATAAAAACCTAAAAAAATTCTTATTTACATTTGTAAAAGTTTTTACTATCGTAAAAATTGAATTATATTTTACTTATTTTTTACAGATTCGAATTTATTTATCGGAATTTATAATCAAAATGTCGACTATACCTTCAAAGTTCAACTTAGCTGGTGAAGGGTTAAATTATTCGTCAAATTATTCACTGATTGCCATGCCGAGAAGCATATTTATTACTTCATTTAATCAGACACCCAATATATAATTAATACAGTAAAGAGAGAACCGGATGCGTCAATCCATGATGCGTCCTGAACCTGGGTCAACTCACCCCGACCTATCTCACAAGATTTCTTCTTAGGTCTTTCGTCCTATTCGCAGGTCGCATGACTAGGATCTTAATAAACTGCAAAGAAAAATTTTATTTCAACGTTAATTTAATATAAATTATGTCACGGGATTAAAATTTAATTTCACGCACACACAAATCTTAATTCCACAATTTGTTAAAGAAGAGTTCTCGATTGCGGGCCGGTTATAATCATTTGCGAGTAGAGTAGAGTGACCTTGCCCGAAGGCTGCTCTCTCCTTAGAAGAGGCGACGTCGGCATCCGGATCGGCGTCGTCGGCGTCCGATCAATATACAGCGGCCAAAGGACGCGTGCGCGCCGCGGGGTAGGCCGACCCGAGGTCCCGAGAGCCGTCAGACTACGAAGAGACGAGTAAGCACTCTAGTTGCGCTAGCGAGAGGCCGACCTCCTGAGCTCTCTCTCTCCTCTCTCTTTCTCGCGAACTACCCCCTGCGCGAGAATCGATTCTCTCTCGGCGACGCGACAGACCTGCTCTACTTTTTCCACTCTTTCTCTCTCTTTTTCTGTCTTCGAGCCTCGTCCTTTTTCAACGTATCTCTCTGCTCACGAGGGTGCTGTTGGAGAAGAGGAACAAGTCTGGGTACATCTGGTGATCAACGACAGCAGCCGCGTCACCGTCGCAAATCACGACTTATGCGTCTGTACCGAGCAGGTAACCGTTTCCGGTGCACGGACTTCCACGAGAGAATTAGTTCCCCTGAGCAATTACCACCTCGCGAATGGGTTAACCGAGATTTGCTATTAGATTATCACTGCATTCCGTCACTAAAGAATGGGAAGGCAAAAGTTCTGCGGCTCCATGCGTGAATCAAATTTAAGACGTTACGTTTCCTGACAGAAAAAAATCCTATTGTTAAATTACAAGGGTAAACGTTCGAAATATTATTCCAATTGATTCTCGCGGTCCTTTAGAATTGGTGCCTTTGTTAAAAAAAAGTACAATTCAGTCTGTCTTAAGAGTTATTGCTACGTCTTTGATTCGCCTTGAAGTATCTTAACAGTAGCCACGAATGCGCCGCTTATAGCATGGTAAATGGAGCGCAAGAATCAATATTAATAACGCACAGTTATTGTAAACAACAGGCACCGGCTGCAATCGGGTGCAGAATTACACACCACTTACATTACTATGATTGAAACACGAGTCCTTGCAAATCGCACTCTCAGATATCTCGGGTACTAAATCAATAGACGAGATGTCCCTCGAGAAGTACTGTTCTTTACAGTATTTACAAGAGGAACATTAATTTAATTACTTGTAACAACGATGTAAATCCCTTATGTAAATCTGTGTACAAACTTTTGAACGATCTCACGAAATAATTATATGCATGAATAAAAAAAACAATTCTTCGTTCTAATCTCAGAAAGAGAGCGCCTATGAATATTTTATTATTATAAAAAATTATCTTATTGTGTAGCAAATGTCATCATTTAGAAAACAAACGGAATCAAACGATCGAAAGAATAGCATTCAAATAAGTCTGGAGAAATCGAGTTACGTCGCAAACATTTTCATGACTGTAGCTTACCCATAGGTAGCTATCTATCTAGCTTACCCCTTCATTTATTATATATACTTCCGCGCAATCATACTTCGAGCGAATGTTCATTTATTGCGACTGCATTTGTTCGATTATCGAAAGAGATTAAATCTACTGCAAATCTGTCACAATTTTCGTTTCCGCAACTTCAAGGACATTCAGTCCGATTTAGCGATCATCGCTATCATGTTCCTAATATGGTTTGTCCCGCACGAAAATCATCCGGATGATCGTTAGCATTCTAGCCAGATGAAACGTACACCGGTCCGATGATCGTCCATGTCTGAAAATTATCCTGAATTTCATCTCCATGATTTTGCATCTCTCGTGAATGCTTTTAGCAGACCACTAACTCGCATGGATAAGAACAGCCCGCAAGATTTGCCTATCTTCCTTTGCACCCGGAATACATCCGCAATCCTGCAATTGAAATGATCCTAACAAGATCCAGGTTAAAGGGAAAAATAATAATAATAGAAATAATATTATAATTAAAGTTGGATAGATATATTCTAAACAAATACAAATGTTTTAGTTTCAAACTCTATAAATGATTTTTCAAATTAAAAAATTATATTTTTCTCTTTAAAAGATTTAATATTAAATTTTCTTTTGTATCTTCAAATAAATTTCAAATAACACTTAAGATAAGTCCTTTAAGTTCTTTAAATTCCTCAAATTTGAAACAAAAATTACTAAATTCTAATTTCCTTTGATTTTCTTCAAATATAGAACCCCAAATGTATAAAATAATATCTCTATTTTAGCAGGATAATTTATTTAAAGAAATTAGAATTGTAAAAATTAGAACCATATACGGAAGTTGTAATCTAACTCGGAAATCGAAAATGAAGAAACTTGAAAATGAATTAGTACATCTTCAAGATTGTTTCGTTCTTTTTCGCAGAAACATCCAGGATATCATCCAGAGGGAAAGGATCGGCGTGTAGCAAAGGCGGCGGCGATAGTAGAACATTATTATCCGACTGGCGATCATCAAACGGCAACACCATCACTACCCACGACCGTTTGTTTTCGTGCGACGAGTTAACCGGCGAGTTAACGTCGACATCATTACCAACCTGGTACCACAGATTGCCAGGCTTTCTTAAGGCGACCAGCGACGGACAGGCAGCGTGTATGATCATTGAGGACTACCCCCCTACCCCGCCCGCCACCGCCAAACCGAGGCAACACCCGAGGCATCAAGATACCACCCAACGATTCCTAAATCTTCATCTGGTCCTGCCCAAGCACAGGACCTCAAAATTTTCCAGGTTTGTAAGTCAGTCTGGTTAGTGTCAATTTTTTTATTTTAAATTTTGTTGAGAAAATTAATAATTAACTATCTTTAAAAATAAACTGTAATTTCTGCTCAAATCTGGAATGCTAAGAAATGCTTAAAGACGTTGAAAAAAATTGAGTTACATTTATTAAAATAAACTTGTTAGAAAATTTCTAATAATTGCTTTTAATTTTTAGTAATTAAAATCATTAATGGCAGTTTGAGTTACTATGATATTTTAAAGGCAAGGCTTTTTCTTTTTATAGTAATAGGCATCGGAAGCTTCAGCCATTCAGAGAAACGTGACTGGCGTCAGCGGGTAGCGGCGCGGCACGCCTTACCGCTAACAAGAACTACAATCCTGAGAAGAGGAAGAACCACCCTGACTCGACACGCTGCTGTTACGAGCTACCACGAGCAGGTAGCAACCATCGCCTGCTACTGTCCACCGCCGGCTACCAAACTGCCGCTGGCTGGAAACGTGCGACAGAGGGGATCTAGAAGAACCAGGACGAAGACGTTACCCACCTGAGAAAAAGGAGAAAGAAAGATTGAATAGAGCGGATTTTTTACGTCACTTCACGAGCTGCTCAAGAGCCGATTTTTTCGTTCCGATTCATTAATATTTTCACAACGACGTCTCATCAGAGATCATTGTCGATCGGAGAAATAAAGTTCGTTAAGAGCAAGAGAAGGCGGAAACATCGGTCACCATGGGGAGCGTAAACGTCAATCGCAATGTCAGCGATGCTTTTTATCGTTATAAGATGCCGCGGATCCAAGCGAAGGTGGAAGGCAAGGGAAATGGTATTAAGACAGTGATCGTCAACATGGTGGATGTGGCGAAGGCGATCGGTCGTCCGGCTACGTATCCGACCAAGTATTTTGGTTGCGAGTTGGGCGCTCAAACGCAGTTTGACTTCAAGAACGAACGCTTCATTGTCAACGGTTCACACGATGCGACAAAGCTACAGGATCTGTTGGATGGTTTTATCCGAAAATATGTTCTTTGCCCAGCCTGCGACAATCCGGAAACCGAATTAATGGTCAGTTCGAAGAAAGGAACGATCTCGCAGGGTTGCAAAGCGTGTGGACATCATGGCCTTCTTGAGAGCAATCACAAGTTGAACACGTACATCTTGAAAAATCCACCGAGCTTGAATCCAGCAGTACAAGGTAGCTCTTTGACAGAGGGTAAACGCGGCAAACGCTCGAAACGCGCTAATGGTGACGCTGCGACTGCAGTCGCCGCCACCACTGCTACCACTAACGGCAACGATCGATCTGGTTCGCCAGAAAATGACGTCAACAACTCTGGAGACATCGTGATGGAACCACCGCCAGAAAGAACAATCAACGACGACGGAGATGACGATAAATGGGCGGTAGATGTGTCTGAGGAAGCAGTCAGAGCTCGTCTTCAAGACCTGACGGATGGTGCTAAAGGTATGACTATCAGTGACGACCTTGATAAGAGCGAAAAAGAGCGCATGGACATGTTCTACAAACTGGTCAAATGCCGTCGCGATGCTGGCCAACTCGATAACAATCACAAGGAGCTCGTAGCCGAGGCGGAGCGTCTCGAGATTAAGACCAAGGCACCATTGATCCTTGCCGAGCTGTTATTCGATCAGGGAATCGCCGCACAGGCGAAAAAATACCGGGTGCTACTGCTGCGTTTCACTCACGATGACATTAAGGCACAGAAATATTTGATCAGAGGAATCGAGCAAGTGATCGCGCTGCATAAGGATGCATTGATGCCGAAGGTTCCCGGAATCCTCAAGGTGAAAGAATAAATTTTTTGAGAATTAAGAAATATTTTAAGAAATTTTATTAGAGAATTCAATTAGAAAGTATTAATACATATCGTAAGTATTAGATATTGCACACAAATTATCAATTAGTTAAAATATTTGTGTACATTACAGTTATTTTACGACGCTGATATCTTAGAAGAGAAGGCATTTGATGAATGGTCAAATAAAGTCAGCAAGAAATATGTCTCGAAAGATCTGTCGCAGGAGATTCATGATCGAGCTGCACCATTTTTAACATGGTTGAAAGTTGCAGAGGAAGAGGAGTCTGAATCCGAGGAAGAAGACGACGATGTGGAGGTAATCTCATTGTTCACAAGTGCTTCTAAGAAAATCATTAATTCTTTAATTCAATTTTTTCATTATTTTGTCCAATTCTTCTCTATTAATTTATAATTAAATATACAATAGAAGGTTTTTTTTTTTTAAGAACTCTGGAAATAAGTCAATTAAAATAGCTTGGTTTGAAATCTTTTTCTTAAAATAATCTTCATTAAATCTAATGCCTTATAAAATTTTTTCAAAACTGTTCTTCTGTGTTATTTATTCAACTATTTTTATAATGATGTATTATATTTTTTTATAACTGTGATATAAAAAGATATATCTGACAATTGAAATTTTCCATTTTAGATCGAATACGACGATAGAGCCAAGCAGGAATCTCTGAAACAACAGCAGCCGCCGGCCACGCCGAAACCTACCGCCGCTACGACCGTCGCTGCCGCCAATAATGATTCCGAGGATGACTTCGATATTGATGCCATTTAAAGCATACACCGTATTACACGTATCATACACCCAACATATATATACACACATATACACAAACGCAACGGATGACAAAAAACACTGGTCCCGAGCCGTAATATCTGAGATGAATAATCATTTTCCTCTTGAACAGAATTGTGCAAATGCAATCTCAAGTTATACGCAAATAGATATAGGATTTTCGTTATTTTAGGCTGATGAGAGCGACACAATTAAACAATGCTGTTTACATGAATGAAGAAAAAGAAAAAAGAAGAAAGAAAAAGAAATTTTAATCGTTCCTAAGAGTTTAACGTGATTTATCTATGTACAGTATATTCGCGATATTTTTAATCGTTTTAACGATGCAGATACGCATTTATTGAAAAGATCGTTATTTCTTTAATATTGATTGATTGTTGTGGAAACATTTTAATGGTGCGCGTATATCTTGAAATGCATCCCTTTCAAGTAAAGAAGACATTCATAAAGCATTCATGAGCATTACCGGGAAATTGGCCTGCTAAAAATGTTCTTTATTGTATTATTCTAATTATTATTATTCAAATAAATATGGTTTATTGCAATGATCACCTGATGTCTCCATTCTTTACAATTAACAGAAAAATAGATTATAATTGCAAATGTAGCGTTAATTTAATATTAATAAGAATCGATAAACAATTTGAATTTTTATTGATTAATCAGATGTAATAGTTTCGGTAATGAGTTATCAAGCATATCCATATTTTTATATACTAGTATAAATTTGTTTTTCTTTTTAAAACAAGATAGATAAAACAGGAAATATCCGAAACATTTTGATAAGTTACAAAACGTACTCATTGTGAAAGTGAGTTATGTAATCTGTAAAGTACATCCATTTGACGCTCAACATTCGCGAGCATTATTTGTCCTTGTTTAACATTTGAGAAACATCAAGGATGAAATGATTCCACGACCGTTGCAAGCGTCAAGTCGACCGTATCCATGGTTGCATCAAAAGAATCACGAAGTGCGGACAAAAAAAATTTTGAAAGTTTCTGACTAACATCACTTTTTATGATCGTTCTTAACAAATATTTATAATTGGAAACGTTTCAGACACTTTTTCATTAATTTCATTTTATTGTTATCGATCTAAGGTCTTATTTTTGGAAAATATTGCTTGCGAAAATACTGTAGTATGCATTGAGTTTTGCGCAAAAAATTTGGAACAGGAATAAATTTTAAATATTAAAGAAAAATAAACATTAGAAATAGAGATTAAATGTACCGCATAATGGAATAAGATAAAACATACATATGTCATATCTATATTTAATATGCGTCACATTTAATCTATTTCTAATTTTTTTATTTCTTTAATATTTATGCACACAAGGCCTTATATATATTACAGATTTTTGTATACGATATAAATTCGAGACTATTACTACGTTTACACGGCCCGATTTACGCCGAAGTTATAACATCGATGTTACAGAACTAACCAATCATAGCTATTCTTCTGAAAAAATGGAATGACTGTGATTGGCCAATTTCGTATCATCGATGTTATTTATAACTTCGGCGTAAATCGAACCGTATAAACGTAGTCTATATAAGGCGACTATTCATAGTCAACTTAAGACGATCTTGAAATAACAACGGATTATGAATACCGCCCATAGACCCAGAATAAACTCTAAATATATAAGGACGAGGCCATATAACATAAAGAAAAGAAAAAAAGCCATCTGTCCAACAGTCGTGACATTTATCCAAATGAATTTACAGTTACATAACTTCCATTCAAGTTATATTTTATTATAGCTATCACAAGAATAATCTCCCTTCTCCGATGATTCAAAGCTCACCGCGCAGTCTCATTAAAACGCGCGGGAAACCACCGACGTCGTCGAGAGTCGCGGAAAATATTCTATTCGACGAACCATCTTGTGCAATCCTGACCAACCGCGAGAAATTCATCTGGAAATATTTTCGGCCGAGAAATGCGCTGGAAGAGGGAAAAGGATGGATAATGTGAGAGTCAGCTGAATTTGGCGGCAAGGCCCGATCAGCTGATTGGCGGGCGGCAGTTTGGGCGCGAAACGCCGGCACGGGAAGCCAATCACGACTGATCGCGACACAGTCGAGATAATTTTGCCCGCGTAAAGTGCCAGTGTTTCCTGCTCCGTTCATTAGAACGGTTCCTGGCGTCGTTCGTTATCGTCGTTGTACGTCGTCGTCTTCGTCCATCGCTGTCGCCGTGGTTGCCGTGCATCGGAATCCAATTGAAATCGTGAACTGAGAACATCTCGATAACGATGGCATTGCACGAATCCACGAAAGAAAACGTCCGCAAACACCTGGAGGATGTGTCGTTACACGTAAGTCCGCTTGTCTCTTTTTCCCTCGTTCCTTCCTTGGGCCACCGAAGCTCTCTCCATTACACAGCTTTTTCTGTCCCTATTTTTCCAGATCGAATATTTTATTGTCAGTTTTGCCACGCAGCTCTGTATCTTCATTATTGCCAAATAGCGTGAGTGGAAAAATTTGAGTTGTAGGATCCTTTTTTGCTTCTTACGCACACATGTGACGTTTTATGTGGTTTAAGACGCAAGAAACAACTGCGTTTCTTTGAAATGGAACGAGCATGCGGTAGATGAGTGAAATTCCTGGTGATAATTGAATTAAAATAATTGATATATGGATGTTTACATATAGCAATTATTTAGATTAGCAATCTTACTTCCATATATCAGTCTGTTTTATAGATATAGAGATATATATAGATATATATATATTTGCACTAAAAAAAATGTCAGCAGTATTATTTTAATTGAAAATAGTCTTATTAATTCATTAACAGCTAATGTCAATGAACCAAACAATTAAAACAAGAGCATGACATATTTGTTTCATTAATAATGTTACAAATTAATAAAATCATTTTCAATTAAAATAATGTTAAATCATTTTTTCTCTTATATATACGTATATATATATATATATATATAACCGGTTATCCAAGCTTGCAAAGACAGAGTTTGAGCAGAGTCTGTTATAAGATTTCTGATACCCGAAAGGCAACAAATTTCAAACAGAGACTGTTTTGTAACAAAATGTTAGCAGAATATCGACAGAATGGTAACAGATTTGATCAAGGAATATTAGCAGACTCATCTGAGGTCGCATTCTGCTTCCGTTTTGTCGACAACATCTGTTAGCCTAATTCTACAATGTACTCTTTATTTCCTGTTTCTTGCTGTTTGTCTCTGTTTGTCTCTTGCCTTTTTGATCAAGAAGGTAAGAGACAAACAGCAAGAAACAGGAAACAAAAAGCACATTGTAGAATTAGCCTTAACATTCTATGTCAGCAGAAATTAAACAGAACCTGCTTACAGAATCTGACAGCAGATTGGCAGCAGAAACCAAGCAGGATCTATGCACACAATCTGATGGCAGACTGACGACAGAAATTGAGTAGATCCTGTTCTGTAATATAATATAAATATAATAGAATAATATGATATATATGTATTTATATTTAAGGTTTAATATGTAAAATATATTTAATTTATTAATAAAATTTTTTCAGAGTAATATTACAATCTTAATACCTAAAAAACAGCGGAATCTGCTTGATTTCTGTCGTTAATCTGTATTATGCAGATCTTGCTCGGATTCTATTGCCAATCTGCTACATAGAATGTCAACAAGTGTTCTGTTCGATTTCTGCTATCAATCTGTTCACATAGAATGTTTAACAGAGATACTGTCAACAAAATGGAAGTGGAATGCGACCTTAAATGAGGTCAATTTACTGACATTTCCTGATCAATCCGCTGTCAGTCTGCTGACGTTCTGACATTTTGCTTACTGGGTATATATATATATATATATATTTATTGCGATATAGGATTATTTTCTAAGAATTATGATTCGTGTAGAAAACGTGGAATATGTATAATTGGTCAATGTGTTATTAAAATGAATTCTAAATGGAACATCCTGTATATATTTCATTTCACAGTCATGCATCTATTTTTTTTTTATATTTTAACTGCGACATAATATCTTCAAAATCTTTCCTTTTTCTTTCTCCTGTTTTCTAAAATCTTTTACCTCAAATCATTTTCAATAATATATTCTGACCAATTCGAAGTAATAGTTCCTCTAACAATAAGAAAAAATGTCTAGAGAATTGAAGATTAATGTATTTATATTTATATTTTATATATGTGTCTCCTACATTTTCCGCAAGCAGAATCATAATTTCTAATCGCAATTCTCTTCTCCGCCATACATGGAATAGGCTCTTTTCTGCTTTTCAACAGTGGTTATGTTTTCGGACATATGCTGCGCGAAACGTAAATCTTCGCCGTTCATTAACACGATAGGAAACAAGAATTTTGCAAATGCGTGAAAAGTACGTGTTTCGAAAAACACAGAAATCATTAGCATGATGACGGAGTGGTAGTAACACGAGAATAATTGCGTGAAAACACTTTGTCGAGACACGACGTCTCAGTCTCACACGGTGACGAATGCATTTAACTTGTGCGTATTTAGCTATATATATGGAGTATCTGTATATGTGTGCTTATATATTTAACATAGAGCTTAGAATGTCCAGTGACTTTAATCAGAATGTTTTATTATTAAATATATTTACAATTTTATATTCGATGTTATTATGTTCGTCGTCAGTAACCTAAGATGAATGAAGAGGTAAAAATTCGTTGCGTTATTCTCGTTGACAGAATTTTTCCACTTTTTCTGGATACTTCTCTAGGTTATGAATATTTTTGCAATTTTCCTAAACGCTTCTTACTCGTTAAATACAAGAAATATATTTATGTATAAAGGGACAGCTATATATAATCAGGATGAACTCAATAAATTCTTCTAGAATTTTCAGATAAATGTACATACTTGGATTTGTTCGTTTTACAAATTACACAATTTAAAGTCCACGCGATAGCTAACTTGAAATAAATATTTGAATAATTTAATTCAAAATATTTCTTAGTATAAGAGTATAAGATATTGAGACAGAATTTTATTCATTATTTTGTTGCCTGTTTTTATGTTAAGAATAAGACTAATTCTACAATATGCTCTTTGTTTCCTGTTTCTTGCTGTTTGTTTCTTACCTTCTTGATCAAAAAGGCAAGAGACAAATAGCAAGAAATTTATATCGAAACAATGTCTGTTTAGAAGTGTTTTCTATTTTTTGCATGAAATAATGCAATCCTGTTCTCTATATCAAGATTTTCTTTGTATTTCATTCAATTGTGGAAAAGAATTGTTTTAATTATAACATATTGGTTTAGATACAGTACATTTACATTAACATTAATAATTGAATCGATAAAGTGATTCATAAAATGTGATAATGTTTCCTGTTAATGATATAATTTATATATATATATATATATATACAATAATGTAGTGGAGACATAAAACTATTTCTTTATTGTATTTTCTTATAAAAATTTATATTATATTGTATTTCATTTCAATTTCAATCAACAGTATTTTTTTTTTTGCAGACATCACCAAAGAAATCATGCATTTCTCCAACTATATCTCAGGATCATGGTTTGAAAAATGGGGTAGGTACATCTTACTTATATACCAGTTTTACTTCTTGTGATACGTTTTATAGATTTTTAATATTTACTATGTATATCAGAACATGGTTTTAATAAAAGCAATATATTTGTAGCTTGTCAAGACAAAAGCCGTACGAAAGGTACAACTAAAGGAAGATTTCAATCCAGAACTGGAACCACTGCTCCAAGAAGGCCCAAACCGTTTTGTAATTTTTCCTATTCAGTATCCTGATATCTGGGATATGTATAAAAAAGCCGTAGCCTCTTTTTGGACCATAGAAGAAGTATCCCTTCATAAGGTATAAGCTCTTAAGCTATAATATATTTTTTTAAGATATAAAAATATACAGCTTGAAAACTTAACGTATTGAATAGCTCAATAATTAAAAAATTTAAAAATAGAAGTAGACTTTAATAAATATTTTGTATTCCTAACAATGAATTCTTGTAATTTTTACAGCAAGACAAGAAGGACTGGAATGAAAAGCTAAATTCCGACGAGAAATACTTTATCTCTCATGTCTTAGCATTCTTTGCCGCTTCTGATGGTATCGTTAATGAAAATCTGATTGAGAGATTCAGTCAGGAGGTGAAAATTCCCGAAGCACGTTGTTTCTATGGCTTTCAAATTGCCATAGAAAATATTCATTCTGAGATGTATTCTTTGCTCATTGAAACTTATATTTCTGATCCAAAAGAAAAGTAAGAATATATTTGACATACATTTTTTCACATTTATATATGTAGTATTACTGTGGCGATTGTGGTGTAGAATGTAGCGCAGCTGCTTTCTGTGCCAAAGATTCAGGGTTCAAATTCATTCAGAACACAAAAATTTAATTTGATCGCCACCTTTCTGAAGGCAAAATCACTGAGTATATTTGTTACCGTCGTTCGGAACCGATGTTAAAAACTATAGATCCCATATATCGATAGATATATGCATCGATTCCCCAGGTTGGGAGTTGGATATTAGGTTAACAATCTAATTTCCGGAAAAATTATTGTTTCGAAATCTCGTCTCCAGAGGAGGCCCATATCAATTGACACCCATTTAACCTTGAGCACAAGTATAAAAAAAATCTAATAATCAGCGATACCTGAATTTTATCAATCCATATCTGGAAAAGTATTTAACCAAAAGAAATTTTGTTGTAGTATTTTGAGAAGATCTCAATGTTAACTAAGAATATTGAATAATAGAAGTTACCATTAAAAATTTTAAAGTTGACTTTTGAAGCTCATACCTCCGTTCAAAATAAATATTGCTGTTTAATGCATTTGATGAAACCTTACTACTTTTATATAAAATATTTTTTTCTCAAATGTTTTGTTTTCAAGGTATTTAGCCAGTCTGATACTTTTTGGCCACTTTATATGTATTTTCAAATTGTATATAATTTGCAAATTACTTTCATAAAATAGAATAATTCATTTACTTTAGCTTACGTATTATTTTTATATTTATACTAAATTTATATTTATGTTTTAAGTATATTATTACTGAAATTACATTGATGATTTTTATTTCCAGAGATTTCTTATTTAATGCGATTGAGACACTTCCTTGTGTGGGGAAGAAGGCTAATTGGGCATTAAACTGGATCAATCATGAGAGCGCTACGTTTCCTGAACGTGTAGTCGCATTTGCGGCAGTCGAGGGTATCTTCTTCAGTGGCAGTTTTGCAGCCATTTTTTGGCTGAAGAAACGAGGAGTCATGCCAGGTCTCACCTTCAGCAACGAACTCATCTCGCGAGACGAAGTCAGTAAATTAGTTTTATTTTTTTATATCTGTAGGTTATTCAATTTTTATTTAATAAATTTTATATTTATCGTTTACTTTACAGGGATTACACTGCGATTTCGCCTGTTTAATGTTTAAACACATCGTACAAAAGCCATCATTTGAGCGTGTGAAATCAATTGTAATGGATGCCGTAGAAATTGAAAAGGAATTTTTGACGCAAGCGTTACCGGTTGAACTGATAGGAATGAATTGCGAATGGATGTGTAAATACATCGAATTCGTCGCGGACAGATTATTCGTTGCATTAGGATTTGAAAAGGTAATGTATAAAAGAATTTACGATTTTATTTTTTATTTTAATATTTTCTAATGTTTTTATTTTACATAAATGATACTGATAATTTCGTAATAAAATTTTTAATCTTATTTTAACTTGATTTATTAAGAGATATAAAATATTGTGATAATTATTTAGGTTTACAATTCGGAGAATCCGTTCTCGTTCATGGATTTTATCTCTATGATGGGTAAAACAAATTTCTTCGAGAAAAAAGTGGGCGAGTACAAGAAGTTCGGAGTCATGGAGGAAGATTCTAAAAAGAAGAGCACGTCAGGTGTGGTGTTTGGTGCAAAGTTTTAATGTAAAAAGTTTGAATATACAAATAGTATATAACAAACAAAAAATGTATGTACTCCTCGATGGCGAAAAAGGACATTGGTAATTCCGCGACTTTGAAATAATTTTATAATAATGATAAACTTTAAGAAAAAAATTTTTGACAAATATTCGCGAGACGAAAAAATGTTTGTACAGTGTTTATAGAATATATTGTAAATTGACGGCATCAGTAAGAAAGATAATGTAAATGTATTTTTATATATTTTTACGCATCAATTACAATAATTTTCAGTTATAATTTCCAAAATGCTATTTTATAAGTATTATGTGTTTCAAAATAGTATAACTTTAATTTATGAAATTATTAATGTAATTTTTTATATTTAATTCCTATTGTAATTGATAAACGGAAAAACTTTTATAAAAAAATAATTCTTCTAAAAGATATTTTTTCATGATGCCGTCGAATTATTTAACAAACTTTTGAGCAGCAAACTGCGTTTGCTCAAATCTTAAATGTGTGTGTATGTGTACAGAATATTAATTATAAAACGAATTCTAATTTATTATATAAGAAAAAAATTAACCATGATATTTTGTGACACTTTCGGAAAATATCTTTTTACGATTTGATTGCGATTTTATAATTGAACGAATTAATTGAACAGTTAGGTATTGATATTATGATAAAAGTTTTTGTCATGTTAACTGTTCTGTTATAAAATCTTACTGATGACATCGAAAAAAAGACTACATAATTTTGAATAAATAATTATATATAAATAGTCTTACTTATTAGAGATTACTTTAAAACTTAAAGCTGCTGCTTAAAATAGTATTTGTATAGTAGATAAGTCTTTGCATGTATGTAAACAACTATGTGGCAATAAAATTAATTAAGAAATAAAGCTTTCTTTAAACTGTTATGATTATTTTAAAGAATCTAGAAAAAATGATTTTGAAAACAAAAAGATGGAAAAGAGAAAAGTACTATACATAGGAATTGAAATATGGAAAAATTAAAACAATGTTTTATTTAAAGATAAATATATCTACAATGTTAATATGTCAAAAAAGTAATTGTGTGTACAGCTGCTGTTTTTACACTTGGTCATTTAGAATTTAGATTATCATGGTTGTATAACATTACTTATGTATATACATATATTTAACGTTATAATTGTGGCAGAGATGTGCATCTGCTTTCGAAAGATTCTAATACGATCAGAATACGATTTTTATCTAATCACCGTCTCCCAAAAAACCGAAAAGATCTTGTCAGATCTGTAGATTAGTTCGAAATTGGTGTTAAATTGTAGGCCCCATGGTTATATGTATATAAAATATTCAAATATGGTAAAATATAAATTGGTAACTTCACATATAATGTTCAATAGAATAGATAGATATAAAAAATATACTTTCTCGCAGAAGCTCACGTGTAGCAATATGTTATGGGATTAGCAAGGTAAAGGTACTTCGAAACCTTTTTGCAGTTTATTAAGGTACTGCTTGCGGCATTCCATGTTCTCGGCTGGTCTATTATATGGCAACCAAACTGGCTCTCCCACAAAATATCTCTTTGCTCTTATGTAATTCTAAAAGTTTCTTAGAAATTAGAGATCCATTTATTATATAGAGATTTATTTTAAATTTACTCTGAATATATTAGAGATTTGTTAAATAGAAAAAGAACATTTCTTTAGACATTTAAACAAAGATTGACAGAAGAAAAGAAATAAAATATATGTCAAAGGATCACATATGAAAAAAATTTGTAAGCATTTGTAAATATTCTTACATTAGTGTCTAGAGTGAAACGATGATAAATCCCACTGGGTATGATTAATAGATCGCCGGCCGTCACTTTAATCCGGATCCATTGATCATCCTTGTCCCGTACGTCGAAATAGCCCGAACCACCCAGAACTAGTCGTATCTCCTCATCGGTATGAAGATGTTCGGTGAAGAAGATTTTTAACTAAAAATCAAATTCGGATAGAGGGACATTAATATAATTAAAGGTATTGAAGAAACGTGCGCTATATATATAGAAACATCAATTAAAAATCTTGATATTTTTTTATAACGAATAATAATTACGATTCTAAAAATACAGATAATATATCTTTTATACCTTCTCTTCATAATTTTCTAAGCATTCTTTGGAACATATTAACTCATCTTCATATGTATAACTGCGTTTCTCACGTAATTCTTTCAAAGTAGCATCTACCTCATAATTTGGATGATTTATCTGTAAAATAGATTGTATATAATAACAAATATAATATAATATGATACAATAAATTTAAGTTACTCGTAAAATTCCATTTGCTATAAACATGCACGTTATTTTTTTTACAAAATTTATATTTCCATTTTTATTAAAATAGTATGTATTATAATAGTACGTACGGATATTAAAATAACATTAAATACTAAATAATAATATGACAAATAACGAAGGTTTGTAAACTTATAACTGAAGAAAATTACATAAATAATTAGATCTGTCTTATATTTATTTTTAGTTGTACTTTTTGGATTCAATCTAAAGCTAAAGGCTAATAAAGAGCAGTACAGAGTACATGTACATTAAGTACATATCTTTTGGAAAGAAAAAGAGATGTATGGACATGTTATAACATATGTTATATAACACATGTTATATAATATAATATATGCGAGAATGGAAGTGACGTTTTAGCATTTAACAATATAGAAAATATTATGTTATTATGAATATGTATATACACATTAAATTCAACATTAATATCAACATTCGGCTCCAATATCAGCTGATCATGATTGAATAATGGATATCGAGATTGGCAGTAATTATGTATTATTTTGTCAATGTATTTTCAAAATACACAGCTCAATCGAGCACGAGACGGCATAATTGTTAATACCATTATAGTGAAAGGATACCATCGGGTAAAATCGAACATTCGCAACAAACGATCTTAAAAATCGGCATATTTCTAACCTCAAAATATTCCACGCCCGTTGCGGCGAACAGGCTATCTAGCGAAACATATTCTGGCGGTTGCCTATGGTGTTCCAATCTTTGATCAGCATCGCTGCTGTCCATATACCAGACGCGTACCATAGTCTCTCGTTCGAATAATAACAAAAATCGACGTTATTCCGAATAGTCCGAACAACGATGACACTCAATGACACTGGCGATCGGATTTCTGCATTTTAACCAGATTGTTATGACGTAAGCAATTTATCAATTATCAGCGATAAGGAGAACCATCAACAATAAGGAGATAAAGGCTGCGTTCCACTTAACGCTCACAATGCTCGTGGAATCATTTCATCTTTGTCGTTTATCAAATGTTAAACAAGGACAAACGATACTCGCGAGCGTTACGAGCGTTAAGTGGAACGCAGCCTGAACCCGATATTTCATGTGTCGTACGACAAAGCTTTTCAAGCCTGTTGATTGGCTGCAGGACAGACAGATTTTCGGATTTCTCTGTTCTACAGCCAATCAACAGGCTTGAAAAGCCTGTCGTACGACACATGAAATATCGGCCATAGGCTGCGGTCCACTTGACGCTACAAACACTTCGAAGCATTCTTTGATTAGTCCGGATCTACAATAGGTGTTTTAAGCCTTAAGTTGTAAGAAATTGACCAATTACAGTCAAATTCGAGGGAAATAATCGACTGTGATTCGCCCATTTCTTATGGCTTAAGGCTTAAAACCCTATTGTAGATCCGGAGTTAGTCAATTCGTAAAATTCTTTGTTCTGATTGGTCGCTCAAACGCTTCAAAGCGTTTATAGCGTCAAGTGGACCGCAGTCCTCGATGCGACTTCCGAGAAATACGAAGAATAACAATGTTTATCACCTTCATCGATAATTTAAAAGAGACAAACTTTAAATAAGAAAGGATTGTTAAAGACAAAATCTTGGTAAGTCAATTAAAAGTGACAGAAAAAAATCAACCGTTTTTGGGCCTCCGATTTTGTGACTGAACTGTGTGCACAAAAACGAGCAAAAAACCACATTTTTTTCGGTCATTCTTTATGCGTGCTACATTATGTAGAATTTTTATGCTATAAATTCATATTTACTATTTAATGCTGTTATATTATTTATTTATTATCATTTGAATATTCTGTAGAGAGAAAAGAATCAGTTTTAGCATTTTTTCCTTCTGATAATTTTGTTCTAATAACCGATTTTATTCTTTTAAAAATTATTTTAAAAGTTATTTATAATATATAAAATTAAAAGCGAAAATACTATTCTGTTTTGATATAGCCGAAATCGAAACATACTATCATCCTCTTCTTATTATCAGCTTCTTCCTCTTTTTTAAAAGATCAATGTATTTAGATCCGCACATATCGTACATATTTGAAAAATTTCGACTCACATGTTATTTTTTCTACGGGGATAATATGTAATTACGCAGTAATTATTTTATACTTACATATTTTATATATAGTGCTGTTTATGTTATTATATTTAAGAGCTCTCTCTACTAAAATGTCTATTTTTTAAATATTTTTTCAAGTTTTTGCTCAAGATGGATTCAACTTCGTATCAGTTTTTTGAAAGTATGTTATTAATATTATCGCAACAAGAGAAATATGGACAACTGAAACTTCTCTCGTCTCGTACAAAGAAGACCTCGCATTCCATTGACAAAATAATAACAGCTATTATCAAAAAAGTCAAAATTTTAGAAAGCAATCTAAGATTCAAGTTATATAATATTAAGATATTTACTGAAGACAGTTGTAATCTTGAAATAAGGAAAAGTATTCCAGTAATGGCCATATGTTACAACTATTTGTTGTTGAATACAAATTTTTCTTCGCAGCACCTTCTTAGGAAGGACACGAGATTCGGCCACAAGGTCGGTTTATGGCCCACTCTTTCACTTTATCTCTTCATACAGGTGATTCATATATAAGTAATAATACGTATTGTATATTTTAATAAGGATTAATAATATATTAGTAATAAAACATTATATATTAACAAGGATTAATAATGTTTAATAAATAATTTATTGATTGCACTATAGATGTATTGAACATGAATATATTAAATATATATATCTATCATATATTGAATATTTTTTAATACTATATTTAATTTGTTACTTTTATTTAAATCAATGCATGTGGAATGTAGTTGGTTGGGTTTTAATATTGGTGCAGTTGATACTGATAAAAAATTTGAGGAATACACACACATTAAAAGTATTATATCATCTGTAGTTTTCTATTAGCATAATTTTGACGTAGCATGTAAAACATTGATATCATTACGAAAAAGATGTCATTTATTTCATTATTGAATTCTATGGTTTACGAGATGATGGAATTATATAATATATTTTTTGTTGTGTGTTAATTTAAATACCTACTTATTTAGTTTCTATGACGATAAGAAAAAAATTGTGTTGAATACTACTAAAGACAAAAGCAATTTTAGATTCATTATATATTTCTATGCACATATATAAAAAGGTAACACGGTTATACATATGTGTATGTGTTTGTGCATGCCAAAAGTTCCAGAACAGCTAATTACTTAAGAAATTATTGGTTTATTAGAAAAACCTCTAAAAATTATAACTGGCTCGTAGCCCTTTCTTTTAACTATTGATTTATTCTGATTGAGCCATATTGATAATTATTTATTATTTATTAGAAAAGTTTCACAAAGTTGCAGGATTTCAACAAATGCATCAAACAATGATACCGATTTGACTTGGAGCACGAATGTGGAGGAGCTCTCACAGTTAACTTTAAAATTTTAAATGGAAACGTCCGCTTTTTATTCAATATTCTTCTAGTGATATTGACATCAAGACCTTTTCAAAACACTACAATCATATTTTGAAAAACCTTGATGTCAGCTACAAGAATATTGAATAAAAAGTAGGAATTTCCATTAAAAATTTTAAAGTTGAATTTTGAAGATTCTTCCACGCTTGCTTTTAATGTGTATTGCTGTTTGATACATTTATATGTATATGTATTTATCTTAACACGTAAATCATTACTGCATATTTTATGTTATTATTCATGAAATTATATAATTGTTAATATATTTTATTTAATTTTATACATATATGTTAATGTATTTTATTATTAATATATTTTATTTATGTAATCCATATACAGATCATATGGCATTTAAAGTGCGAGGACTTATTAGTTGAATCGCTTGTGCATATACCATTGGATCTGTGTGTGCAAATTTTAGAAACAACGATCAAACACATAAACGAATTACAATTTCCACGAGCCAGACGGCTTGTTTTTCTTCTGATCTACAAGGTGTATTATAAATGTTTATGGTTGCACTTAGGTACACTATCAGAACAAAATGTGATGGAACGCGTTCATCAATTAATAACATATTTTGACAAATTATTAGACTTCCTCGTCAATCCTATGTTTGTTACTTCTCGTGCATCATGTATCGATGAAAAGTACTTGCAACATGGTATTTTAGTGAAGAATATGCTTCACTATATAAGGAAGTGCATGCATAGCAAAATTGAAAATTTCTGGAAAAATTGTAATCTAGCAGCATCATTCACACTTACGTACGGCAATTTTAATGAAAACACGAATTATTATCACATGCTTCCTGTCGGCGAAGTAAAATCCATTATAACAAAATTAGATCAAAAACTGACTAATTTGCTTATAAATCAGATCAAACATATTGAACCTTCCGAATACATAGTTTGGGAAAACACCATTGATGATGAAACTACTACAATATCACTACAACAAGATATCGTCATGGAATGCCATTACTTTATAGAGTTTGTGAAGCAGAATGAATTTTTCGTGGCAAACGAGGAATTGTTCCTCTATCTGGAGCGACTTGTAAGTCCAAGAAAATCCAAGGAATCTGTTTTAACTCTTCAAGAACTCTGTCGTAAAATCGCAGATGGTAGATTGCATGGTATGAGGGAAGTGATTAAACGCTATAAAGAATGGGATTTGTCTATATTGGATTTTATCAACGAAAACATAGAATTGTTGAGAATTTACGATGTTTTCGTTATACTTGAATATATTCATTATATATTCGCATATCTGCATACTAATGCAGAAAAATATCGGGTGTATGTGTCAGTATTGAGAATATTGCTTCAGTTAACAGTGAAAGACTTGCATTCTGTTGTACAAAATTATGTGGAGTATCACTTTGACGACAATCCTTTAGAGAGTTTGTACAATGAAAAATGCTTCACAGCATTCATAGAGGGATCTTCATTTATTTCTTCTTGCGAAATGACTGATTTAGTTAGAACCCAAGAATTGCGTACACTCTTAATCTTTATTCTATTAAACCCGAAGGATGTTTTAAGTAAATTTGTGATGTATGAAATAGACATTGAATTCTCCAATGATTTTCTGTTCGAAAAGAATATGTCTTTAGTGCGATCATATTACACTTTAAGGAGCGGTCAGTGCAACGTATTGATGTACATACTGAAGGACATGCTTTTCGTACAGCGCATAATATTATGTACCCGTTTTATAGATTTTATGGATAATGTGTTAAGCTATCAGGTGATATACCATGCTATAAATGAAATAACCATTATAGAATAGAATTTTATTACTTCAGCTTTACATTGCCAAGAAGGGATGAAGTAACCATTATAGAGCTAGCTAAATTTTTAGTAGATTTGATAAAATTCGATCTTACGCTTACTATTCTTTATTCATAGTATAATGTATAAATTTTTCTATATTTTTCATCAATACAACAGAATAGGGATATTTCAAACAAATTAAAGTTGTTTTTAAGAAAACGATATATTTAAAGAACTTGACCAAGAAAGCATTTTGTAATTTTAGAAATTAAAAAAGATTACTACATATATTATATTTTTCTCCTCAAATCACGAAATATTTATGTAAATAATTTATTTTTGTAAAGTTCAGTTATTTAAATTTTTAAATAATCGAAATCTATTGAATAAAAATTCATATTTGTTAATCAAGAATAAATTTCGAAGCATTTTTCTTTTCGTTATTCAAATAAAGTTTTATCCGAATATACTTACGATTAATGCTGATTTGAACATACGTTATAATAATAATTGTAATGTTTTTTGTTAATTTTCATTTTGTTAAAATTCCATATTAATTTCTTCTAAATTTTTTTATAGATGATCACGACAGACGATATAATTAACGAACTTTATATTATCTACTTAGTTCGTAATTGTTTAGAAAAGACTAATACTATAATAATTATATTATTACATACGTATAGTATCGTGAAAAGAAGACTTTTCACGTACAGAACTGATTTTATACGGTTAACAATAGCATTGTTGAAGATGACGTCAGTGCTAAGGAGAGGCAGCAAAACTTTTTCAAAAGTCATGGCGCATGATCGAGAAAACATTATAAATAGCATATTATGGATTTTGCACATGATCAATGCATTGCCAATTGAATGGTGCTATGTAATACACTCATATGTCATAGAGCCTCTTGAGATGAAAAATCTGTTTCCAAATATTATAGATACATTAAAAATAATCCAGGAATATGAGAAACGTTGCTTCATTATGCATCGACGATTGCGCACGGATCCGCGATGCCATTTTAAATTGCGCAATTATGTGCAATCTTTCAAGCTTGATCGACAGGCTTTTATTCGTCACATGATGTTGTATTGCTTTAAAATGGAGAACGAGATATATGGGGTCTCTTTGTCATTGAACTTCTTTCACCATTTAGGTTGGGCCAACGAGAGAATAGCTTATGAGAACATAATGCATATCAACGCCGAGGCGTTGCAGATTGCCTTGATATATATAGAATCGTTTTCAAAAAATACATTTATTATGTTATTACACTCCATCGTAGACTTCTCCAAAAGAATTGAAAGTTTTATACCCGATAACCAGGAAGAAGTTCGCCGCATCCTGCTGAAAAATATGTAGTCGATGAGACGCGCTATAAACTTATATATGACTTCTTGCTCAAGCATATTTGTGATGAAGATCTATCTTATCTGACAGACAAATATTATGAAACCTCCGAATGGATTTATGCACTCATCCATGGACGCGTGCCTTGTACAGTATCTCTAATAGACTGGTAAATAAATAACAATGTTTTCTTTCTTTTGTGAAATGAACTTGATTTTTAATTATAAAAATCTTTATTGCGTATATATGTGTATATATATATGTGTGTATGTCGATGCGCGCGCATCCACAGATATATTTTATCATTATCTTACTTTTTTAATATTTTTGATATTTTAATATTTTACATGTAATGTGTACTTAACGCTGTTGATTATTTAAAAAAAAGTGACACACATACTAGTTAAAAAATATACAGATACATATTCGAGTAGAATATACATTATACACATATACATATATATTATAGATAGATGTGCGTACATATGTGTATACACGCGTACAGAGAGACAGAATAATAAAAAATATATAAAATTATTATGAAGATATGTATAGAAAAAATAAAATGTGTAATATGTGTACGTGATATGTTACAGCACTTGTGATAAATGTCCGTATTGCAAACGTCAAAGTTTCATTAGGAATAAAATTGCAGCGATGTATAAGGCATATTTGTTCATATGTGAATGCATCAAGATACCCACAGAGTTTCATCATCATTATTATTATGAGCAATTACTGCACAATTTGTGTCCGGAATAATAGATTAATTTTAATGAAGTATAGAAAATTGTACATGACATATTTTTTGAGATACTTTTATCAGATAAATCATTACTGTTCTTTAACAATGTTGTAATTAAAATATATGATAATTATGCAGTTTAGGGGAGCTCCCCAATGACCTTGACAATATATGTCAAGGTTAAAGTCATTGGGGAGGGCTTCTCTAAACTGCATATATATCTTATTTTTTTATATTGATACATTTAATAAATTTTATAATGATGCTTTTCCTTCTTTATATGAAATATGTAAAAATCATCTTCCCAATAAATAAGAACGAATTGAATTGAAATAGATTCAGATTTTCAGCAATGTGTATTGGCGAATAAAAATGAATTCCCTCAATGTTCAATGCATTTTTATTCATTTATAGGAATTGCATGAAGCACATTTTTACGCCTTTTAACCTAAAAATAATATCAGCTTTTTCTGTGCATCATGAACACTGCTCAATTCAAAATTCTGAATAGGAAAAGCAGTTTTTCAATCTAATTGAATTCAGTTAAATACAATTGAATAAAAAACAATTTTTCTTATTCAAATTGGATTTAATTAAACTTAAAATACGCGCGCGCGCGCGCGTAAAAATTTTAATCTATTATAATCCGTTCTTGATTACTGGGAATAAACAGGACAAATGATGCTTGTAAGTACAAAACGGAATATACTTAATGAGTCATGTATTTTATGCTAGGTACGTGTTACACATATTTCATTAAAAAAATTATTGTATTCAATAAAAAGTTTATTTCTCGTAGAATGAATAATGTGCATATAATATAAAATATATGTCATAGATATATTTTTTTAGATATGTCATAGATATAATTTTAAATTTATTATTTGCTTTCTTTTTATTTTAGAAAACATTTATTCTTATTTTTATATTTTTATTAGATTATTTTTATATTTAAGATAATCTTATTTTTTACTCTTAGAAAATAATTCATTTAAGATTAATACTAATATTAGATCATTAATTTATAAAATTATTATTTAAATGTAAAAAATTTAAATATACAAAGTAATATACTTACGACTTAATTACTTAAAACTAAATATTTTTAATTACACATTAAAAATATTTTTATAAGAATTTTTTTCACTTGGAAAAATGTTTCTCTCATTATATATATCTAATATTAGATAATATGATTTTGATAACGCAAGAAAAATTATATTATCTACCATTAACATATGTGTATACATATATGTACATATACAATTACTCGCATAATCGATTGAACATTAAAAAAATATATAGTACTAAAAAAATATTTATAAGTTTATAACGTATAATTATATGCAAGTACACAACAATAATGCAAGTAAAATATGATAAAATAGTTTATAAAATGAATTCTACAGCACCTCATATTTCCGACATGTCATTAAAGACAATTCTACTTTTAAAACATAGAGATATAAAACCGAAATTTTTTAATTAATCTATTCCACAAGCTATCAAGAGTGTCATTGTATTCTAGTCCCTTTCGTTTTCATCGATTTAAGATCCATTTTTCATTGCACTGCATACTTTTGTATTCAATATAAGCAACATATATTAAAAAGAAAAGAAAGAAAAACATGCATATGCTGTAATTAGACATGTAAGAATGTAAGTGATACAGCACACCGGACAATATACAAAATCTGCGCATATATTAATGATTTGCATAATACAAGAACAAACTCACATACGTATTTCACGGATTTTGATTAACTTTTGCATGGTTATTCTGGGACATAAAATAATAATCTTTGTAAAGCAATAATAATTGCACCTCTACGTATTTTTCGAGAAAACCGTGATTTTCGGTCACGATGACGGATCGCTTTCAAACCTCTTTACTCTTTGTTTAAACGTAAATGAAATATTTGAAATTATTTAAAATTAGAAAAATATACAGCTTCGGTGAACACGAATGTATAAGCACATAATCCAAGTATAGGATAACACCGTACTATCTGCACCAACTTCTGCCGCTTTACGAGTGGCAACCGTTCACGAGGTGTTTCAAGCTTCGGTTGAAATCAAAGAATATCTGTTTTCTCAAAAACTATAAATTTTTGTACTTAATATATATGTATATATAAAGATGACTTGTTTTTTAAATATCGATTCCTCCAGGTTTGAAAGCTGTCCGTTATCGTCATTTAAAATCATGATTTTCTCGAAAAATACGCAGAGGTACAATTTACTGCTTTACAGGGATTATTTTTTGGTGCCCCAGAATAATCACTCAAAAGCTGAGCAAAATTCGTGAAATACATATGTGAATCTCTCCTTATTAGTTGCGTAAATTCATTTCTCACACACACACACACACACACACACACACACACACCATGCGCGCGCGCGCTTATGTTTATTTTGTTTTAATATTCTGCACAATGAATAAATAAAATTTATTACGAGCTGTCTGATACGTAAAATTATTACGAAATTTTTAAATATGAGAAAGAGAACTTCAACATTCGGTTTTACTGCGTCAATCGCGACCATCAGACTGATTCGACATTAAATGAAATTACAAGTTGCTCTCAAAGTCAATTACATGTGTTTTAAAAATAATTGATACAGATAGACTCGAGGTCGTCAATTTCGAATCGAATGAATTCGAATGTTCATAAATGAAAATTCAAAAAATTGGTGCATATCTCGTCTTAAAATATATAACAATTTATAAATAGTTTATCCGAGATTAACCAATAACACGAATTCTGACGACTGGTTGTGATGTTCCAATCGTTGATCGCTGTTGTTTGTAAACGAGGCATGTATCATAGCTTTGGTCAAATAGCAATAAAAGTTGACGATACTCCGAACAATACCGACGACACTGAAGATCAGACTCTGCGTTTTAATTTTAATCAGACAAATGACGTAAGAAATTCAGCAATTATCGATTTGTAGATATCTCTCCGTGATAAGAAATTCCGAAGGAAGTATACGAGAAAAATACAATGTTTATCGACGACTATTTGTGGAAGTAAATTTTGAACGAAAAAGATTTCTTAAATAAGCAATTCTGGTAAGCCGAAATTTGCATGCATTATTATGATAATCTTATGTTATAATAAATTTACGTTATATTTATTATAATATATGATCATATTATGCATATAAACACTTACTGTTATTATATTATCTATGTCAATACAATTTTATTTATTTAAACCAAAGCATTTTTATACATCACTATACATTATTATAAAAAAATTATTCTAATTTCTTCCAAATAAAGAAAAAGATTATATTTTTAATTTTAATTAAAATCAGATAATTTTTTATGCTTTTAATTTTACCTTTTGTATTTTAAATAATTACTTTAAGTATATTTACAAAAGTAAACATTAACATATCAACAAGAAGAACAATATTAAATTTAATATTGTCACATATATCTTCATGCATTTTATTTTATTTTTGTTATGCTTTTTTTAACATTATATATATATTATAATATTAAATATTTATGTATTTATATAAATATATTATATATTTTATGTATATATTGTGTGTATATGTGTTTGTGTTTTTACAAAGTACTATTTATATATTTTATTACACTTAAAATTAGCTAATAAAGTCTTTTTGCTTTTTAATTCACTTTATTAGATTTTTGATCAGTATGATTGAATATAATGAAATAAAGATTCATCGGATTTCTGAGACTACAAGAATCATTTTCTCATTGCTGCAACAACAACATGGCCAATTGAAACATTTGTCGTCTCAAAGAGAAGAGATCTCGTATTCTATTAATGAAATATCAACATTTATTAAGAATTTTCTAAAAAATCGACTTAAGATGTACGATATTAAGATATTCTTTGAAGATGACATTCATGAAACAAGCTATATCTGTTCGCCATTATTCATCATGTATTACAACTTTTTATTATTGAATACGAATTTTTCCTCGCAGTACCTTCTTAGGAAAGACTTGATATACGGACACACAGTCGGTATATGGCCTACTCTATCACCTTATCTCTTTGTACAGGTTTCGTACAGGTTTCAATAACAATCATATATTTCAATAAATATTATATATATATATTAATAATTAATAAATAACATTAACTTTCTGGTTACATTATAAACGTATTAAACATTAAATACTTTTCAAAATTTTGATTTTTTTTTTAAATCAATGTGTGAATTAAGGAATGTTGGTGTTAGTTCAGTGTGAAAAATTATCAGAGATACCCGAGGTATATTGTATTATCTGTGTCTCTCTCTTTCATATCTCTGACATATCACATAACACAATAATAAGATATCAAAAGACATCTATTTTATTTTATCAATTAAATTCATATAGTTTTAGAAATAAACAAATAATAATGTGTTTCTTTGTTTTTCTTGGGCGTTAACTTAAATTATACATTTTTTTGCGCAATCTTTATTAATAGCTACGCTTAATTATTTTCTATATACATACATATATATATATATACTCTTTATAATCAATTATCAATTTTTTATATATTTCATTTATATGATATATACAGATAATATGGTATTCGAAGTGCGAGGATTTACTGATTGAGTCGATCACGCACATACCATTGGATCTATGCGCGGAGATCTTGAAGACAACGATCAAACACATAAATGAATTGGCAATCCCTCGAGCCAGACGCCTTATTTTCCTTCTAATATATAAACTATACAATAAGTGCTTATGGTTGCACTTAGGCACCTTGTCAGAACAAAATGTGATGAAATGTGTTCACCAAATAATAATGTATTTTGAAATATTGTTAAATTTACTTGTTAGCTCAAAGTTTGTTACTTCTTATAATTCATCCAGCGAGGAGAAGTACTTACAACATGGTATTTTAGTGAAGAATATACTTCACTGTATTAAGAAGTGCATGCATAGCAAAACAAGAAGTTATTCGGAAAATCATAATATACTGAAACTGTTCACACTTACATATGGCAACTTCAATGAACATACGAA